ATATATTCAACAGTGAGCAAAAAAAAAAAGACAGTTCAAAAATATCAAACCAAATACAAAACTTTTAATAAAGTTTGCTTATTTAAAAAATTAACCTTTTTTCAAAATATTTAGAAAGAAAAAACTGGCATTAATGGCAGCCAACATCATTGGTCAATTGCTCTTTTTGACTATATATCATTAACTATTTTCATTTTAAATCTTTATTTTAATCAGTAATGAAGACGGTTTAATGATATAATCATTATTTTCGAAATTAATGTGTGCGTCAAATTATCACAAGTTGGTGGCTATTCAAAACAATCTGATGTATACACTTGAACAGAAATGATTAAATTTCAACCGAATTTCAAACAATCTAAATCAGGTCATATTTTCCCAATTACTTGTAGAAAAATGCAGATGAATATGTAAATTTCCAGGGAAAAACTGATTTTAATGACCTAACAAATATGAACATAGTTTTAAGTACAATTGTATAGCCAAATACTTACATGCTACTCATTTCCTATCTTCAATGAAACAATCTTCATGTTCTGTGACTGACTGGAACTTGGTAAGGCCTGCTACTGTAATAGAACTAAAATTATAATTAGACTAAAATTAAATATACTTTCCTTTAATTTTCTTTTCCTGGTCTTCGTCAATGGCTCCATTTTCGGGGTCTTTGCTGTAAACATCTTCTTCATAGCATCTTAAACAAAAACAAAATTATTTATAGACAGATGCTGATAAACTCAAATAAAATTTACATATATTCAACAGTGAGCAAAAAAAAAAGACAGTTCAAAAATATCAAACCAAATATAAAACTTTTAATAAAGTTTGCTTATTTAAAAAATAAAACTTTTTTCAAAATATTTAGAAAGAAAAAACTGGCATTAATGGCAGCCAACATCATTGGTCAATTGCTCTTTTTGACTATATATCATTAACTATTTTCATTTTAAATCTTTATTTTAATCAGTAATGAAGACGGTTTAATGATATAATCATTATTTTCGAAATTAATGTGTGCGTCAAATTATCACAAGTTGGTGGCTATTCAAAACAATATGATGTATACACTTGAACAGAAATGATTAAATTTCAACCGAATTTCAAACAATCTAAATCAGGTCATATTTTCCCAATTACTTGTAGAAAAATGCAGATGAATATGTAAATTTCCAGGGAAAAACTGATTTTAATGACCTAACAAATATGAACATAGTTTTAAGTACAATTGTATAGCCAAATACTTACATGCTACTCATTTCCTATCTTCAATGAAACAATCTTCATGTTCTGTGACTGACTGGAACTTGGTAAGGCCTGCTACTGTAATAGAACTAAAATTATAATTAGACTAAAATTAAATATACTTTCCTTTAATTTCCTTTCCCTGGTCTTCATCAATGGCTCCATTTTCGGGGTCTTTGCTGTAAACATCTTCTTCATAGCATCTTAAACAAAAACAAAATTATTTATAGACAGATGCTGATAAACTCAAATAAAATTTACATATATTCAACAGTGAGCAAAAAAAAAAGACAGTTCAAAAATATCAAACCAAATATAAAACTTTTAATAAAGTTTGCTTATTTAAAAAATAAAACTTTTTTCAAAATATTTAGAAAGAAAAAACTGGCATTAATGGCAGCCAACATCATTGGTCAATTGCTCTTTTTGACTATATATCATTAACTATTTTCATTTTAAATCTTTATTTTAATCAGTAATGAAGACGGTTTAATTGTATAATCATTATTTTCGAAATTAATGTGTGCGTCAAATTATCACAAGTTGGTGGCTATTCAAAACAATCTGATGTATACACTTGAACAGAAATGATTAAATTTCAACCGAATTTCAAACAATCTAAATCAGGTCATATTTTCCCAATTACTTGTAGAAAAATGCAGATGAATATGTAAATTTCCAGGGAAAAACTGATTTTAATGACCTAACAAATATGAACATAGTTTTAAGTACAATTGTATAGCCAAATACTTACATGCTACTCATTTCCTATCTTCAATGAAACAATCTTCATGTTCTGTGACTGACTGGAACTTGGTAAGGCCTGCTACTGTAATAGAACTAAAATTATAATTAGACTAAAATTAAATATACTTTCCTTTAATTTCCTTTCCCTGGTCTTCGTCAATGGCTCCATTTTCGGGGTCTTTGCTGTAAACATCTTCTTCATAGCATCTTAAACAAAAACAAAATTATTTATAGACAGATGCTGATAAACTCAAATAAAATTTACATATATTCAACAGTGAGCAAAAAAAAAAGACAGTTCAAAAATATCAAACCAAATATAAAACTTTTAATAAAGTTTGCTTATTTAAAAAATAAAACTTTTTTCAAAATATTTAGAAAGAAAAAACTGGCATTAATGGCAGCCAACATCATTGGTCAATTGCTCTTTTTGACTATATATCATTAACTATTTTCATTTTAAATCTTTATTTTAATCAGTAATGAAGACGGTTTAATGATATAATCATTATTTTCGAAATTAATGTGTGCGTCAAATTATCACAAGTTGGTGGCTATTCAAAACAATCTGATGTATACACTTGAACAGAAATGATTAAATTTCAACCGAATTTCAAACAATCTAAATCAGGTCATATTTTCCCAATTACTTGTAGAAAAATGCAGATGAATATGTAAATTTCCAGGGAAAAACTGATTTTAATGACCTAACAAATATGAACATAGTTTTAAGTACAATTGTATAGCCAAATACTTACATGCTACTCATTTCCTATCTTCAATGAAACAATCTTCATGTTCTGTGACTGACTGGAACTTGGTAAGGCCTGCTACTGTAATAGAACTAAAATTATAATTAGACTAAAATTAAATATACTTTCCTTTAATTTTCTTTTCCTGGTCTTCGTCAATGGCTCCATTTTCGGGGTCTTTGCTGTAAACATCTTCTTCATAGCATCTTAAACAAAAACAAAATTATTTATAGACAGATGCTGATAAACTCAAATAAAATTTACATATATTCAACAGTGAGCAAAAAAAAAAGACAGTTCAAAAATATCAAACCAAATATAAAACTTTTAATAAAGTTTGCTTATTTAAAAAATAAAACTTTTTTCAAAATATTTAGAAAGAAAAAACTGGCATTAATGGCAGCCAACATCATTGGTCAATTGCTCTTTTTGACTATATATCATTAACTATTTTCATTTTAAATCTTTATTTTAATCAGTAATGAAGACGGTTTAATGATATAATCATTATTTTCGAAATTAATGTGTGCGTCAAATTATCACAAGTTGGTGGCTATTCAAAACAATATGATGTATACACTTGAACAGAAATGATTAAATTTCAACCGAATTTCAAACAATCTAAATCAGGTCATATTTTCCCAATTACTTGTAGAAAAATGCAGATGAATATGTAAATTTCCAGGGAAAAACTGATTTTAATGACCTAACAAATATGAACATAGTTTTAAGTACAATTGTATAGCCAAATACTTACATGCTACTCATTTCCTATCTTCAATGAAACAATCTTCATGTTCTGTGACTGACTGGAACTTGGTAAGGCCTGCTACTGTAATAGAACTAAAATTATAATTAGACTAAAATTAAATATACTTTCCTTTAATTTCCTTTCCCTGGTCTTCATCAATGGCTCCATTTTCGGGGTCTTTGCTGTAAACATCTTCTTCATAGCATCTTAAACAAAAACAAAATTATTTATAGACAGATGCTGATAAACTCAAATAAAATTTACATATATTCAACAGTGAGCAAAAAAAAAAGACAGTTCAAAAATATCAAACCAAATATAAAACTTTTAATAAAGTTTGCTTATTTAAAAAATAAAACTTTTTTCAAAATATTTAGAAAGAAAAAACTGGCATTAATGGCAGCCAACATCATTGGTCAATTGCTCTTTTTGACTATATATCATTAACTATTTTCATTTTAAATCTTTATTTTAATCAGTAATGAAGACGGTTTAATTGTATAATCATTATTTTCGAAATTAATGTGTGCGTCAAATTATCACAAGTTGGTGGCTATTCAAAACAATCTGATGTATACACTTGAACAGAAATGATTAAATTTCAACCGAATTTCAAACAATCTAAATCAGGTCATATTTTCCCAATTACTTGTAGAAAAATGCAGATGAATATGTAAATTTCCAGGGAAAAACTGATTTTAATGACCTAACAAATATGAACATAGTTTTAAGTACAATTGTATAGCCAAATACTTACATGCTACTCATTTCCTATCTTCAATGAAACAATCTTCATGTTCTGTGACTGACTGGAACTTGGTAAGGCCTGCTACTGTAATAGAACTAAAATTATAATTAGACTAAAATTAAATATACTTTCCTTTAATTTCCTTTCCCTGGTCTTCGTCAATGGCTCCATTTTCGGGGTCTTTGCTGTAAACATCTTCTTCATAGCATCTTAAACAAAAACAAAATTATTTATAGACAGATGCTGATAAACTCAAATAAAATTTACATATATTCAACAGTGAGCAAAAAAAAAAGACAGTTCAAAAATATCAAACCAAATATAAAACTTTTAATAAAGTTTGCTTATTTAAAAAATAAAACTTTTTTCAAAATATTTAGAAAGAAAAAACTGGCATTAATGGCAGCCAACATCATTGGTCAATTGCTCTTTTTGACTATATATCATTAACTATTTTCATTTTAAATCTTTATTTTAATCAGTAATGAAGACGGTTTAATGATATAATCATTATTTTCGAAATTAATGTGTGCGTCAAATTATCACAAGTTGGTGGCTATTCAAAACAATCTGATGTATACACTTGAACAGAAATGATTAAATTTCAACCGAATTTCAAACAATCTAAATCAGGTCATATTTTCCCAATTACTTGTAGAAAAATGCAGATGAATATGTAAATTTCCAGGGAAAAACTGATTTTAATGACCTAACAAATATGAACATAGTTTTAAGTACAATTGTATAGCCAAATACTTACATGCTACTCATTTCCTATCTTCAATGAAACAATCTTCATGTTCTGTGACTGACTGGAACTTGGTAAGGCCTGCTACTGTAATAGAACTAAAATTATAATTAGACTAAAATTAAATATACTTTCCTTTAATTTTCTTTTCCTGGTCTTCGTCAATGGCTCCATTTTCGGGGTCTTTGCTGTAAACATCTTCTTCATAGCATCTTAAACAAAAACAAAATTATTTATAGACAGATGCTGATAAACTCAAATAAAATTTACATATATTCAACAGTGAGCAAAAAAAAAAGACAGTTCAAAAATATCAAACCAAATATAAAACTTTTAATAAAGTTTGCTTATTTAAAAAATAAAACTTTTTTCAAAATATTTAGAAAGAAAAAACTGGCATTAATGGCAGCCAACATCATTGGTCAATTGCTCTTTTTGACTATATATCATTAACTATTTTCATTTTAAATCTTTATTTTAATCAGTAATGAAGACGGTTTAATGATATAATCATTATTTTCGAAATTAATGTGTGCGTCAAATTATCACAAGTTGGTGGCTATTCAAAACAATCTGATGTATACACTTGAACAGAAATGATTAAATTTCAACCGAATTTCAAACAATCTAAATCAAGTCATATTTTCCCAATTACTTGTAGAAAAATGCAGATGAATATGTAAATTTCCAGGGAAAAACTGATTTTAATGACCTAACAAATATGAACATAGTTTTAAGTACAATTGTATAGCCAAATACTTACATGCTACTCATTTCCTATCTTCAATGAAACAATCTTCATGTTCTGTGACTGACTGGAACTTGGTAAGGCCTGCTACTGTAATAGAACTAAAATTATAATTAGACTAAAATTAAATATACTTTCCTTTAATTTTCTTTTCCTGGTCTTCGTCAATGGCTCCATTTTCGGGGTCTTTGCTGTAAACATCTTCTTCATAGCATCTTAAACAAAAACAAAATTATTTATAGACAGATGCTGATAAACTCAAATAAAATTTACATATATTCAACAGTGAGCAAAAAAAAAAGACAGTTCAAAAATATCAAACCAAATATAAAACTTTTAATAAAGTTTGCTTATTTAAAAAATAAAACTTTTTTCAAAATATTTAGAAAGAAAAAACTGGCATTAATGGCAGCCAACATCATTGGTCAATTGCTCTTTTTGACTATATATCATTAACTATTTTCATTTTAAATCTTTATTTTAATCAGTAATGAAGACGGTTTAATGATATAATCATTATTTTCGAAATTAATGTGTGCGTCAAATTATCACAAGTTGGTGGCTATTCAAAACAATCTGATGTATACACTTGAACAGAAATGATTAAATTTCAACCGAATTTCAAACAATCTAAATCAGGTCATATTTTCCAAATTACTTGTAGAAAAATGCAGATGAATATGTAAATTTCCAGGGAAAAACTGATTTTAATGACCTAACAAATATGAACATAGTTTTAAGTACAATTGTATAGCCAAATACTTACATGCTACTCATTTCCTATCTTCAATGAAACAATCTTCATGTTCTGTGACTGACTGGAACTTGGTAAGGCCTGCTACTGTAATAGAACTAAAATTATAATTAGACTAAAATTAAATATACTTTCCTTTAATTTTCTTTTCCTGGTCTTCGTCAATGGCTCCATTTTCGGGGTCTTTGCTGTAAACATCTTCTTCATAGCATCTTAAACAAAAACAAAATTATTTATAGACAGATGCTGATAAACTCAAATAAAATTTACATATATTCAACAGTGAGCAAAAAAAAAAGACAGTTCAAAAATATCAAACCAAATATAAAACTTTTAATAAAGTTTGCTTATTTAAAAAATAAAACTTTTTTCAAAATATTTAGAAAGAAAAAACTGGCATTAATGGCAGCCAACATCATTGGTCAATTGCTCTTTTTGACTATATATCATTAACTATTTTCATTTTAAATCTTTATTTTAATCAGTAATGAAGACGGTTTAATGATATAATCATTATTTTCGAAATTAATGTGTGCGTCAAATTATCACAAGTTGGTGGCTATTCAAAACAATCTGATGTATACACTTGAACAGAAATGATTAAATTTCAACCGAATTTCAAACAATCTAAATCAGGTCATATTTTCCCAATTACTTGTAGAAAAATGCAGATGAATATGTAAATTTCCAGGGAAAAACTGATTTTAATGACCTAACAAATATGAACATAGTTTTAAGTACAATTGTATAGCCAAATACTTACATGCTACTCATTTCCTATCTTCAATGAAACAATCTTCATGTTCTGTGACTGACTGGAACTTGGTAAGGCCTGCTACTGTAATAGAACTAAAATTATAATTAGACTAAAATTAAATATACTTTCCTTTAATTTTCTTTTCCTGGTCTTCGTCAATGGCTCCATTTTCGGGGTCTTTGCTGTAAACATCTTCTTCATAGCATCTTAAACAAAAACAAAATTATTTATAGACAGATGCTGATAAACTCAAATAAAATTTACATATATTCAACAGTGAGCAAAAAAAAAAGACAGTTCAAAAATATCAAACCAAATATAAAACTTTTAATAAAGTTTGCTTATTTAAAAAATAAAACTTTTTTCAAAATATTTAGAAAGAAAAAACTGGCATTAATGGCAGCCAACATCATTGGTCAATTGCTCTTTTTGACTATATATCATTAACTATTTTCATTTTAAATCTTTATTTTAATCAGTAATGAAGACGGTTTAATGATATAATCATTATTTTCGAAATTAATGTGTGCGTCAAATTATCACAAGTTGGTGGCTATTCAAAACAATCTGATGTATACACTTGAACAGAAATGATTAAATTTCAACCGAATTTCAAACAATCTAAATCAGGTCATATTTTCCCAATTACTTGTAGAAAAATGCAGATGAATATGTAAATTTCCAGGGAAAAACTGATTTTAATGACCTAACAAATATGAACATAGTTTTAAGTACAATTGTATAGCCAAATACTTACATGCTACTCATTTCCTATCTTCAATGAAACAATCTTCATGTTCTGTGACTGACTGGAACTTGGTAAGGCCTGCTACTGTAATAGAACTAAAATTATAATTAGACTAAAATTAAATATACTTTCCTTTAATTTTCTTTTCCTGGTCTTCGTCAATGGCTCCATTTTCGGGGTCTTTGCTGTAAACATCTTCTTCATAGCATCTTAAACAAAAACAAAATTATTTATAGACAGATGCTGATAAACTCAAATAAAATTTACATATATTCAACAGTGAGCAAAAAAAAAAAGACAGTTCAAAAATATCAAACCAAATATAAAACTTTTAATAAAGTTTGCTTATTTAAAAAATAAAAATATTTTTCAAAATATTTAGAAAGAAAAAACTGGCATTAATGGCAGCCAACATCATTGGTCAATTGCTCTTTTTGACTATATATCATTAACTATTTTCATTTTAAATCTTTATTTTAATCAGTAATGAAGACGGTTTAATGATATAATCATTATTTTCGAAATTAATGTGTGCGTCAAATTATCACAAGTTGGTGGCTATTCAAAACAATCTGATGTATACACTTGAACAGAAATGATTAAATTTCAACCGAATTTCAAACAATCTAAATCAGGTCATATTTTCCCAATTACTTGTAGAAAAATGCAGATGAATATGTAAATTTCCAGGGAAAAACTGATTTTAATGACCTAACAAATATGAACATAGTTTTAAGTACAATTGTATAGCCAAATACTTACATGCTACTCATTTCCTATCTTCAATGAAACAATCTTCATGTTCTGTGACTGACTGGAACTTGGTAAGGTCTGCTACTGTAATAGAACTAAAATTATAATTAGACTAAAATTAAATATACTTTCCTTTAATTTCCTTTCCCTGGTCTTCATCAATGGCTCCATTTTCGGGGTCTTTGCTGTAAACATCTTCTTCATAGCATCTTAAACAAAAACAAAATTATTTATAGACAGATGCTGATAAACTCAAATAAAATTTACATATATTCAACAGTGAGCAAAAAAAAAAGACAGTTCAAAAATATCAAACCAAATATAAAACTTTTAATAAAGTTTGCTTATTTAAAAAATAAAACTTTTTTCAAAATATTTAGAAAGAAAAAACTGGCATTAATGGCAGCCAACATCATTGGTCAATTGCTCTTTTTGACTATATATCATTAACTATTTTCATTTTAAATCTTTATTTTAATCAGTAATGAAGACGGTTTAATGATATAATCATTATTTTCGAAATTAATGTGTGCGTCAAATTATCACAAGTTGGTGGCTATTCAAAACAATCTGATGTATACACTTGAACAGAAATGATTAAATTTCAACCGAATTTCAAACAATCTAAATCAGGTCATATTTTCCCAATTACTTGTAGAAAAATGCAGATGAATATGTAAATTTCCAGGGAAAAACTGATTTTAATGACCTAACAAATATGAACATAGTTTTAAGTACAATTGTATAGCCAAATACTTACATGCTACTCATTTCCTATCTTCAATGAAACAATCTTCATGTTCTGTGACTGACTGGAACTTGGTAAGGCCTGCTACTGTAATAGAACTAAAATTATAATTAGACTAAAATTAAATATACTTTCCTTTAATTTTCTTTTCCTGGTCTTCGTCAATGGCTCCATTTTCGGGGTCTTTGCTGTAAACATCTTCTTCATAGCATCTTAAACAAAAACAAAATTATTTATAGACAGATGCTGATAAACTCAAATAAAATTTACATATATTCAACAGTGAGCAAAAAAAAAAGACAGTTCAAAAATATCAAACCAAATATAAAACTTTTAATAAAGTTTGCTTATTTAAAAAATAAAATTTTTTTTCAAAATATTTAGAAAGAAAAAACTGGCATTAATGGCAGCCAACATCATTGGTCAATTGCTCTTTTTGACTATATATCATTAACTATTTTCATTTTAAATCTTTATTTTAATCAGTAATGAAGACGGTTTAATGATATAATCATTATTTTCGAAATTAATGTGTGCGTCAAATTATCACAAGTTGGTGGCTATTCAAAACAATCTGATGTATACACTTGAACAGAAATGATTAAATTTCAACCGAATTTCAAACAATCTAAATCAGGTCATATTTTCCCAATTACTTGTAGAAAAATGCAGATGAATATGTAAATTTCCAGGGAAAAACTGATTTTAATGACCTAACAAATATGAACATAGTTTTAAGTACAATTGTATAGCCAAATACTTACATGCTACTCATTTCCTATCTTCAATGAAACAATCTTCATGTTCTGTGACTGACTGGAACTTGGTAAGGTCTGCTACTGTAATAGAACTAAAATTATAATTAGACTAAAATTAAATATACTTTCCTTTAATTTTCTTTTCCTGGTCTTCGTCAATGGCTCCATTTTCGGGGTCTTTGCTGTAAACATCTTCTTCATAGCATCTTAAACAAAAACAAAATTATTTATAGACAGATGCTGATAAACTCAAATAAAATTTACATATATTCAACAGTGAGCAAAATAAAAAGACAGTTCAAAAATATCAAACCAAATATAAAACTTTTAATAAAGTTTGCTTATTTAAAAAATAAAACTTTTTTCAAAATATTTAGAAAGAAAAAACTGGCATTAATGGCAGCCAACATCATTGGTCAATTGCTCTTTTTGACTATATATCATTAACTATTTTCATTTTAAATCTTTATTTTAATCAGTAATGAAGACGGTTTAATGATATAATCATTATTTTCGAAATTAATGTGTGCGTCAAATTATCACAAGTTGGTGGCTATTCAAAACAATCTGATGTATACACTTGAACAGAAATGATTAAATTTCAACCGAATTTCAAATAATCTAAATCAGGTCATATTTTCCCAATTACTTGTAGAAAAATGCAGATGAATATGTAAATTTCCAGGGAAAAACTGATTTTAATGACCTAACAAATATGAACATAGTTTTAAGTACAATTGTATAGCCAAATACTTACATGCTACTCATTTCCTATCTTCAATGAAACAATCTTCATGTTCTGTGACTGACTGGAACTTGGTAAGGCCTGCTACTGTAATAGAACTAAAATTATAATTAGACTAAAATTAAATATACTTTCCTTTAATTTTCTTTTCCTGGTCTTCATCAATGGCTCCATTTTCGGGGTCTTTGCTGTAAGCATCTTCTTCATAGCATCTTAAACAAAAACAAAATTATTTATAGACAGATGCTGATAAACTCAAATAAAATTTACATATATTCAACAGTGAGCAAAAAAAAAGACAGTTCAAAAATATCAAACCAAATATAAAACTTTTAATAAAGTTTGCTTATTTAAAAAATTAACTTTTTTCAAAATATTTAGAAAGAAAAAACTGGCATTAATGGCAGCCAACATCATTGGTCAATTGCTCTTTTTGACTATATATCATTAACTATTTTCATTTTAAATCTTTATTTTAATCAGTAATGAAGACGGTTTAATGATATAATCATTATTTTCGAAATTAATGTGTGCGTCAAATTACCACAAGTTGGTGGCTATTCAAAACAATCTGATGTATACACTTGAACAGAAATGATTAAATTTCAACCGAATTTCAAATAATCTAAATCAGGTCATATTTTCCCAATTACTTGTAGAAAAATGCAGATGAATATGTAAATTTCCAGGGAAAAACTGATTTTAATGACCTAACAAATATGAACATAGTTTTAAGTACAATTGTATAGCCAAATACTTACATGCTACTCATTTCCTATCTTCAATGAAACAATCTTCATGTTCTGTGACTGACTGGAACTTGGTAAGGCCTGCTACTGTAATAGAACTAAAATTATGATTAGACTAAAATTAAATATACTTTCCTTTAATTTTCTTTTCCTGGTCTTCGTCAATGGCTCCATTTTCGGGGTCTTTGCTGTAAACATCTTCTTCATAGCATCTTAAACAAAAACAAAATTATTTATAGACAGATGCTGATAAACTCAAATAAAATTTACATATATTCAACAGTGAGCAAAAAAAAAAGACAGTTCAAAAATATCAAACCAAATATAAAACTTTTAATAAAGTTTGCTTATTTAAAAAATTAACTTTTTTCAAAATATTTAGAAAGAAAAAACTGGCATTAATGGCAGCCAACATCATTGGTCAATTGCTCTTTTTGACTATATATCATTAACTATTTTCATTTTAAATCTTTATTTTAATCAGTAATGAAGACGGTTTAATGATATAATCATTATTTTCGAAATTAATGTGTGCGTCAAATTATCACAAGTTGGTGGCTATTCAAAACAATCTGATGTATACACTTGAACAGAAATGATTAAATTTCAACCGAATTTCAAACAATCTAAATCAGGTCATATTTTCCCAATTACTTGTAGAAAAATGCAGATGAATATGTAAATTTCCAGGGAAAAACGGATTTTAATGACCTAACAAATATGAACATAGTTTTAAGTACAATTGTATAGCCAAATACTTACATGCTACTCATTTCCTATCTTCAATGAAACAATCTTCATGGTCTGTGACTGACTGGAACTTGGTAAGGCCTGCTACTGTAATAGAACTAAAATTATAATTAGACTAAAATTAAATATACTTTCCTTTAATTTCCTTTCCCTGGTCTTCGTCAATGGCTCCATTTTCGGGGTCTTTGCTGTAAACATCTTCTTCATAGCATCTTAAACAAAAACAAAATTATTTATAGACAGATGCTGATAAACTCAAATAAAATTTACATATATTCAACAGTGAGCAAAAAAAAAAAGACAGTTCAAAAATATCAAACCAAATATAAAACTTTTAATAAAGTTTGCTTATTTAAAAAATAAAACTTTTTTCAAAATATTTAGCAAGAAAAAACTGGCATTAATGGCAGCCAACATCATTGGTCAATTGCTCTTTTTGACTATATATCATTAACTATTTTCATTTTAAATCTTTATTTTAATCAGTAATGAAGACGGTTTAATGATATAATCATTATTTTCGAAATTAATGTGTGCGTCAAATTATCACAAGTTGATGGCTATTCAAAACAATCTGATGTATACACTTGAACAGAAATGATTAAATTTCAACCGAATTTCAAACAATCTAAATCAGGTCATATTTTCCCCAATTACTTGTAGAAAAATGCAGATGAATATGTAAATTTCCAGGGAAAAACTGATTTTAATGACCTAACAAATATGAACATAGTTTTAAGTACAATTGTATAGCCAAATACTTACATGCTACTCATTTCCTATCTTCAATGAAACAATCTTCATGTTCTGTGACTGACTGGAACTTGGTAAGGCCTGCTACTGTAATAGAACTAAAATTATAATTAGACTAAAATTAAATATACTTTCCTTTAATTTTCTTATCCTGGTCTTCGTCAATGGCTCCATTTTCGGGGTCTTTGCTGTAAACATCTTCTTCATAGCATCTTAAACAAAAACAAAATTATTTATAGACAGATGCTGATAAACTCAAATAAAATTTACATATATTCAACAGTGAGCAAAAAAAAAAGACAGTTCAAAAATATCAAACCAAATATAAAACTTTTAATAAAGTTTGCTTATTTAAAAAATAAAACTTTTTTCAAAATATTTAGAAAGAAAAAACTGGCATTAATGGCAGCCAACATCATTGGTCAATTGCTCTTTTTGACTATATATCATTAACTATTTTCATTTTAAATCTTTATTTTAATCAGTAATGAAGACGGTTTAATGATATAATCATTATTTTCGAAATTAATGTGTGCGTCAAATTATCACAAGTTGGTGGCTATTCAAAACAATCTGATGTATACACTTGAACAGAAATGATTAAATTTCAACCGAATTTCAAACAATCTAAATCAGGTCATATTTTCCCAATTACTTGTAGAAAAATGCAGATGAATATGTAAATTTCCAGGGAAAAACTGATTTTAATGACCTAACAAATATGAACATAGTTTTAAGTACAATTGTATAGCCAAATACTTACATGCTACTCATTTCCTATCTTCAATGAAACAATCTTCATGTTCTGTGACTGACTGGAACTTGGTAAGGCCTGCTACTGTAATAGAACTAAAATTATAATTAGACTAAAATTAAATATACTTTCCTTTAATTTTCTTTTCCTGGTCTTCGTCAATGGCTCCATTTTCGGGGTCTTTGCTGTAAACATCTTCTTCATAGCATCTTAAACAAAAACAAAATTATTTATAGACAGATGCTGATAAACTCAAATAAAATTTACATATATTCAACAGTGAGCAAAAAAAAAAGACAGTTCAAAAATATCAAACCAAATATAAAACTTTTAATAAAGTTTGCTTATTTAAAAAATAAAACTTTTTTCAAAATATTTAGAAAGAAAAAACTGGCATTAATGGCAGCCAACATCATTGGTCAATTGCTCTTTTTGACTATATATCATTAACTATTTTCATTTTAAATCTTTATTTTAATCAGTAATGAAGACGGTTTAATGATATAATCATTATTTTCGAAATTAATGTGTGCGTCAAATTATCACAAGTTGGTGGCTATTCAAAACAATCTGATGTATACACTTGAACAGAAATGATTAAATTTCAACCGAATTTCAAATAATCTAAATCAGGTCATATTTTCCCAATTACTTGTAGAAAAATGCAGATGAATATGTAAATTTCCAGGGAAAAACTGATTTTAATGACCTAACAAATATGAACATAGTTTTAAGTACAATTGTATAGCCAAATACTTACATGCTACTCATTTCCTATCTTCAATGAAACAATCTTCATGTTCTGTGACTGACTGGAACTTGGTAAGGCCTGCTACTGTAATAGAACTAAAATTATAATTAGACTAAAATTAAATATACTTTCCTTTAATTTTCTTTTCCTGGTCTTCGTCAATGGCTCCATTTTCGGGGTCTTTGCTGTAAACATCTTCTTCATAGCATCTTAAACAAAAACAAAATTATTTATAGACAGATGCTGATAAACTCAAATAAAATTTACATATATTCAACAGTGAGCAAAAAAAAAAGACAGTTCAAAAATATCAAACCAAATATAAAACTTTTAATAAAGTTTGCTTATTTAAAAAATAAAACTTTTTTCAAAATATTTAGAAAGAAAAAACTGGCATTAATGGCAGCCAACATCATTGGTCAATTGCTCTTTTTGACTATATATCATTAACTATTTTCATTTTAAATCTTTATTTTAATCAGTAATGAAGACGGTTTAATGATATAATCATTATTTTCGAAATTAATGTGTGCGTCAAATTATCACAAGTTGGTGGCTATTCAAAACAATCTGATGTATACACTTGAACAGAAATGATTAAATTTCAACCGAATTTCAAACAATCTAAATCAGGTCATATTTTCCCAATTACTTGTAGAAAAATGCAGATGAATATGTAAATTTCCAGGGAAAAACTGATTTTAATGACCTAACAAATATGAACATAGTTTTAAGTACAATTGTATAGCCAAATACTTACATGCTACTCATTTCCTATCTTCAATGAAACAATCTTCATGTTCTGTGACTGACTGGAACTTGGTAAGGTCTGCTACTGTAATAGAACTAAAATTATAATTAGACTAAAATTAAATATACTTTCCTTTAATTTTCTTTTCCTGGTCTTCGTCAATGGCTCCATTTTCGGGGTCTTTGCTGTAAACATCTTCTTCATAGCATCTTAAACAAAAACAAAATTATTTATAGACAGATGCTGATAAACTCAAATAAAATTTACATATATTCAACAGTGAGCAAAAAAAAAAGACAGTTCAAAAATATCAAACCAAATATAAAACTTTTAATAAAGTTTGCTTATTTAAAAAATAAAACTTTTTTCAAAATATTTAGAAAGAAAAAACTGGCATTAATGGCAGCCAACATCATTGGTCAATTGCTCTTTTTGACTATATATCATTAACTATTTTCATTTTAAATCTTTATTTTAATCAGTAATGAAGACGGTTTAATGATATAATCATTATTTTCGAAATTAATGTGTGCGTCAAATTATCACAAGTTGGTGGCTATTCAAAACAATCTGATGTATACACTTGAACAGAAATGATTAAATTTCAACCGAATTTCAAATAATCTAAATCAGGTCATATTTTCCCAATTACTTGTAGAAAAATGCAGATGAATATGTAAATTTCCAGGGAAAAACTGATTTTAATGACCTAACAAATATGAACATAGTTTTAAGTACAATTGTATAGCCAAATACTTACATGCTACTCATTTCCTATCTTCAATGAAACAATCTTCATGTTCTGTGACTGACTGGAACTTGGTAAGGCCTGCTACTGTAATAGAACTAAAATTATAATTAGACTAAAATTAAATATACTTTCCTTTAATTTTCTTTTCCTGGTCTTCGTCAATGGCTCCATTTTCGGGGTCTTTGCTTTAAACATCTTCTTCATAGCATCTTAAACAAAAACAAAATTATTTATAGACAGATGCTGATAAACTCAAATAAAATTTACATATATTCAACAGTGAGCAAAAAAAAAAGACAGTTCAAAAATATCAAACCAAATATAAAACTTTTAATAAAGTTTGCTTATTTAAAAAATAAAACTTTTTTCAAAATATTTAGAAAGAAAAAACTGGCATTAATGGCAGCCAACATCATTGGTCAATTGCTCTTTTTGACTATATATCATTAACTATTTTCATTTTAAATCTTTATTTTAATCAGTAATGAAGACGGTTTAATGATATAATCATTATTTTCGAAATTAATGTGTGCGTCAAATTATCACAAGTTGGTGGCTATTCAAAACAATCTGATGTATACACTTGAACAGAAATGATTAAATTTCAACCGAATTTCAAACAATCTAAATCAGGTCATATTTTCCCAATTACTTGTAGAAAAATGCAGATGAATATGTAAATTTCCAGGGAAAAACTGATTTTAATGACCTAACAAATATGAACATAGTTTTAAGTACAATTGTATAGCCAAATACTTACATGCTACTCATTTCCTATCTTCAATGAAACAATCTTCATGTTCTGTGACTGACTGGAACTTGGTAAGGCCTGCTACTGTAATAGAACTAAAATTATAATTAGACTAAAATTAAATATACTTTCCTTTAATTTTCTTTTCCTGGTCTTCGTCAATGGCTCCATTTTCGGGGTCTTTGCTGTAAACATCTTCTTCATAGCATCTTAAACAAAAACAAAATTATTTATAGACAGATGCTGATAAACTCAAATAAAATTTACATATATTCAACAGTGAGCAAAAAAAAAAGACAGTTCAAAAATATCAAACCAAATATAAAACTTTTAATAAAAAATAAAACTTTTTTCAAAATATTTAGAAAGAAAAAACTGGCATTAATGGCAGCCAACATCATTGGTCAATTGCTCTTTTTGACTATATATCATTAACTATTTTCATTTTAAATCTTTATTTTAATCAGTAATGAAGACGGTTTAATGATATAATCATTATTTTCGAAATTAATGTGTGCGTCAAATTATCACAAGTTGGTGGCTATTCAAAACAATCTGATGTATACACTTGAACAGAAATGATTAAATTTCAACCGAATTTCAAACAATCTAAATC